ATGATGTTACCAAGACACACATCAATGATAAACATAACATTGTTGATCATCTCCTTGATATAGATAGACGTTAGTCTTCACTATGGTAAGAGAGACGTAATTTTACTATAATTGTGATCAATTAGAAACAATAACCTAATTGATATTTGGAGACACTACATAAAAAGTGAGCAATAGCTACCCGTGGTGCAACTATTACCTACTTTTTGACTTTTTTTGTCATGTTCACCACTCTATCTAATTAATAAAGTAACGTTACATTCATCACATTTTATATATCACATCCCTACTCTAATAAAGTTATGACCCACTAGTAGTCTAGTATGAATACGTCTCACCTAAATTAGACGTTAGGAATGTAGTACAAATGTGTACAAAATGAAAGAATAAAATGCACCTTCACAACTCAACTCTGTTGAATGAACAAAAATAATCACTTTCACAACTCAACCCCGAATTTATTGTTGTGGATTCACTCGCCGATGTTACAATCAAACTTCCATAAGAACAAACTGGGAAAATTATAATTTTGTGCTTCAAATGTGTGAAGAGAATGAATAATATTTATTTTGGACCAAAAAGAAAAGAAATTAAAAATTTCAAAAGAAATATCTGAATTCCATTGCATTATATTTTTTAATAAAATTTTGTATTGTGGAGACTGATACAACAGTGGTACAAATTGCAAATTTTATCTTTAACAACTCCAATTTAACACACTGATATTCTATTGGTAGCCTTTTTATCTTTAACACCTCCAGTTTAACATCAAAATTATGATTGACTATGCTTGGAGAAGACTATGTAGGAGGATTACTGATCAGGGGAACTACTTCCCTCATCGTAGGTCTTGCAGAGCTGTCGTTGTCGACATACAGCATTGCCAGTTTGAACAAATGTATGACAGCCGCCAAGGGGTATCCGGCGAGATTTGGATCCACCACTGCTATTACCGATGATGAACTGGACAACGACTTGGTAGTTTTCCTCACCCAACCCACTATGTTTATAGCGTCTTCATAGTTCATCACTGCTTTCCTCCCTGTTATGAGCTCCAGCAAAACCACACCAAAACTGCACACGTCTATTTTCTCATCCACTTTTAGCGTATAACCGTACTCTGTAAGTTTGCACCATCATATAACAAAAAATTATTGTTAGTGGAAGTGGACCAAAAAACAGGTCTAGCTAGATAGATGCTCGACTGACAAGAAACTTGATTATATTTGACGTGTTTTGGTGAAGGTAGGGGCTTTTATAACCATTTCATTTACATCTTTTATTTTTATACAAATGAAATCTGATTTTAAAATCAAGTCAGAAAGTAAAAACTCACAAAAACATATTTTAGATTTTGGTTTTAAGTTTTTATTTTTCATATTTTTTTTATTTGAAAATTAAAAACTGTTATCATACAAGTTTTGATTATTTTTCGATTTTAATGAAAGAAAAAACTAAAAACCCTATAAACTGAAAATTAAAATAGTTATCAAACAATTCTTTAATTAATTAATCGAAGATGAAATAGATTACGGACCTGGGGCGATGTAACCGAGAAATTTTTAGTTGTGACGGGAACACAAGTGGTACACCACGTGTTTTAATAGGAATGGAGGGAAAAATTATTTTTTAAGTTATTAACTTTTTAGCACACATATTCCACCATTTGTTTAGTGACACGTAGTGTACCACCCTGTGTACCGGTCACACTGAAAAATCTCTCGATGTAACCGAAGGAACCAGCAATTGAGGACATGCAATCAGCTGCTACTCCATGAAAGTACTTGGCGAGCCCAAAATCAGCAACATGAGCCTCAAAGTTTGAATCCAACAAGATGTTATGGGACTTGACATCTCTGTGTATAATCAGGGGTGAACAGTCATGGTGCAGATAACACAATCCCTTTGCAGCCTCCACTGCAATTTTATACCTCCTCTCCCACTGCCACTCCCCTCCATTTCCCCATGCAATATTTTTCCCAAGCTACCATTAGGTGTTGAATTAATCACCTTGAGCTTGAAGAGTATCAATGGAGTTTTAGAGAGAGAGAAACTGTAAGTATAGAATGTAGAGAGAGAGATAGATCGAAGAGAATGAGAGAGAGAGAATTGTACTGTTTGTTATTGCTTATTTCTGAATGGATACAAAGCTCCTATTTATACACCTTTCACTACTTGTACATTAAGTAACAGATCTTTAACAAACTAACAACCACACTACTTAATCTCTTGACAGATGGCATCTTCTTGACCATTGGATAGAACTTGCTTATCTATAGCTTTACATCCCCCCTCAATCACAGGGTTGGTAGAACCAAGCATGAGATTGGCACAATGATATTGGAACAAGGATATAGATAAGCCCTTTGTAAGGATGTCAGCAAACTGGTCAGTAGAAGACACATGATGAACAACTAAGTCACCTCGAACTACCCTTTCGCGTACAAAATGATAGTCAATCTCAATATGTTTTACCCGAGAGTGAAAAACGGGATTAGACGACAGGGCTATGGCAGATATATTGTCACAATACAACGTTGGAGGAACATGTAAAGGAACCTGTAAATCACACAGAAGTTGTCGGATCCAAGCCATTTCAGCAGCAGCTATAACTAAAGCTCGATATTCTGGCTCAGTGGAAGATCTAGAGACAGTATGTTGTTTCCTGGAAGCCCAAGAAATTGGACTTGTACCTAAGTAAACAATATACCCGGAAGTCGATCGACGGTCATTGGGATCCCCCGCCCAATCAGCATCACTATATGCTTGTAAGGACACTGTGCCAGACTTAAAATGAATACCATAATCCATTGTACCACTGAGATACCGGAGAATTCGCTTTACTGCAACTACATGAGAATCCATGGGATGGTGCATGAACTGACAGCATTGATTAACAGCAAAAGCAATATCCGGCCGAGTGAAGGTGAGATATTGCAAGGCTCCTACGACACTGCGATACTGATCAGGACTATGATAGGGCTGCCCGGCTTCCTTGAGGAGCCTGTGAGATGGGAGACAAGAAGTAGCAAAGCTTTAGCATTTTGCATATCAACCTTTGCCAACAGATCCTTGATATATTTTGATTGTGACACAAATAAGCCATCAGACTGATACTGGACTTGTAAGCCAAGAAAATAACTGAGTTGTCCCAGATCCTTCATATCAAACTGTTTAGTAAGAGCCAAGATCACTATGGAAATAGCACTTGAACTACTACCAGTGATAATGATGTCATCGACATATAGTAATAACACTACAATACCATGCTCAGAATGTTGCACAAACAGAGAGGGATCGGTAAGAGAACATTGGAAACCCAAACCGGGAAGAAAACTGGTGAACTTCTCATTCCAAGCGCGAGGAGCCTGTTTTAAACCGTATAACGATTTTTGGAGCTTACAAACATAGTGAGGTGGATGATCAACACTGAGAAACCCGGGATGTTGAGCCATATATACCTCTTCATGTAAGTCACCATGCAGAAATGCATTTTTGACATCCAATTGACGCAAGTCCCAATGAAACTGAGCAGCAAGAGCCAGGATTAAACGTACTGTAGTTGGTTTGACCACTGGACTGAAGGTCTCACTATAGTCAATCCCCTCCTCTTGGCTATAACCCTTGGCAACCAAACGTGCTTTGTACCTGGAAATAGATCCATCAGGATTCTTTTTAAGGCGATAAACCCACTTGCAACCAACAAGATTTTTGCCACTGGGAAGAGGAATAAGATCCCAGGTCTTTTGCAGATGTAGAGCAGTGATCTCTTCTTGCATAGCTGCTTGCCATTCTGGTATTTTACTAGCAGCTTTATAAGTGGTAGGCTCAATAATAGACGGCTCACAGGAAAGGACAGTAGCTGAATATGCTTTCCTTTTAATAATCCCACTCTTAGAACGAGTTTGCATGGGATGAAGATTGATGGAAGAAGCTGGAATCACCACAGTAAGATTTTCAGATTGAAAATCAGGATCAGCAGGGATTGGGGACTGTGCACCTGTGATAGAGTCTGGAAATAATAAGGGTGAAGCTTGGGATAAGGTATTAGTGGCAGACATGGTAGGAAATGACTCTGGAGTGGAACGAGGTTGATGCAAAGACTCTGACGTTCTAGTTCAATCAGTGAAGGACTCTGATGCTCGAGGTGGGACGAATGGAGATGATGCAGGTGATGAGGATGAATAAATGGAGGGTGATAGTAATGTGGACTCAGATGATGATGGTGGACTTGAAATGACGGTATTGTGTTCTGTGAGACATGGAACAAGATGTGAAGAAGGACATTGGGAAACACTCGCCAATGAAGGACATTTAGAAACCAGAGTTATGTAAGGAAAAGTAGATTCATCAAACATAACATGCCTGGACACATAGAACTGACTTATGTTTGGTTGAAAACAAATGTAACCTTTGTATTGGCCTGCATAACCCAGAAAAATACATTGGGCAGTTTTGGGTTGGAGTTTATTAGTAGTGTAAGGTTTCAGTAAAGGAAAACAACTACAGCCAAATGTTTTCAAATGGGTTAAGACAGGAAATGTACCAAATAGACGAAAATAGGGAGATCGCATAGATAAAGTGGTACACGGCATTCTGTTGATCAAATAAACTGCAGTGGTACAGGCATGAAACCAAAACTGAGAAGGTAATTTGGAGGTATGGAGAAGAGTAAGGGCATTGTCAACAATATGCCGATGCTTTCGCTCAGCAAGGCCATTCTGTTCAGGGGTATAAGGGCAAGATTTTTGATGAATTATACCTTTGGTAAGTAAAAACTGTTTGAACTTATGACTAGAAAATTCACCGCCACCATCACTTTGAAAGACTTTAATTGCACTGGAAAACTGAGTAGACAAGAAAGCATGAAACTGCACAAATGTTTGAAACACCTCACTCTTATTCATTAATGGAAAGATCCAGGTAAACCTGGTACATTCATCAATAAAGGTAACATAAAACCTGAAACCTTCTATGGACAATGTAGGAGATGGTCCCCAAACATCACTATGGATGACTTCTAAGGGTTGTACAGTCTTATTTGCAGGAAAAGTAAAAGGCAATTTAGTTATTTTGCCCTCTAAACAAGAGATACACACATGCCTAGATTGATCTAATGCAATTGGAACCTGAGATTGATTCAACATTCGTGCAGCAACAAGATTTGATGGGTGACCTAATCTGTTGTGCCAAAGAGACATATTGACATGATGACCAAGAAGACAGTGGTGTTGTTTAGAGAAGTGAGATGCGTGATATGCTTGCTTGAGGAGGAATTGAGGTATGTGAAAAGGAATCGGGTACAATCCAGCTCTACACAGCCCCTGAAGAAGTGTTCTCCCTGTGATCTTGTCCTGTATCCAGAAGCAAAACTCATCACATATAAACCTGCAATGATTATCTTTACAAAGCTGATAGACGGACAACAGATGTTGGGACAGCTTTGGAACATGTAGAATTTCTTTCAACTGAAATGCATATTTAGGAGCCCTTAAAGTAGAAGAGCCAGTATGCGATATTTCCAAACCTGAGCCACTAGCTGTGGTGATAATATCATTGCCTGTGAAGGGAGTTGCAAGATTGAGATTGGCCAAGTCAGAGGTCATATATGATGTAGCTCCAGTGTCAGCCACCCAAAACTGTTCATGTGGGGCAGAAGGTTGATAAGTGGCATTCATGGCAGTGAGAGTTGGAGACGGTGACCTTCCTTGATAAGAAAAGTTAGCTCGGTGATAACATTGAATTGCAGAGTGACCAAATTTCCAGCAAATTTGACACTGGATGGAGGAGGACGAGACTGGTGTAGGAGAGTGCCTTTGAAAACAGTCAGAAGCAATGTGGCATCGTTTGGCACAAATCTGACAGATAGGCACGTCATTGCCATGCTCAGAGCAAGTAGACACATGAGATCTGGCAGGACCAAGAATACCAGGACCAGGATTGTAATGAGGACCAGAGAAACGTGAAGTCCCAAAATTATTTCTACCGCGAGATCGGCCTCTGAAATTAGATCCTCGAAATCCGCCAGAATTGTAGTTATTGCCACCATGAGTATAGCCGTCAGAGCTATAGTGTTGTCCTCCATTGATAAAACCTCCAGAACTAGAGTTGTGACCACCATTATTGGAAGAATAAGAGCTTCTAATGTGATATTGTGATGACGGATTACCAGTGGTAGGAGAAGAATCCTCTGCAAGTAATAGCCCTTTCCCATTAGAGCCATGTCCTTGAGCGAGCATAGCAGGAACAAAAGAACTGGAGAGTGTAGAGTTTTCAAGTGCAGCTTCCTCGGCAAGCAACTGAGCTCGAAAGTCTTTAAGTGAAATAACATTGTCGCGCCCGCGAATCACTGTTCTAAAGGTATTGTACTCAGAAGATAACCCTTTAAGAGCAATGATAACAATATCATCATCATCAAACGAGACACCAGCAGCAGCCAAATGATCACGAGCATCCTTTATCCGTTAGAGATACTGAGAAATTGAGTCAGTACCCTTCTTAATATTCTGAAGCTCAGTTTTCAATTGAAATATTCTAGCTTTTGTGACAGTGGAAAACCGATCTCGAAGACTCATCCACATTTCACGTGCATTCACACAGCCAATTATACAAGACATGCCAGTAACAGATAAGGTTGCAATGATAAGCTGCATCAAAGCACAATCATGCATCTTCCATATCTGATATGCTTCAGTTTCAACACCTTCAAGATCCGGATTATCAAGAAACCCAGTAGGACACTGTCGAGAACCATCCACAAAGCCAAGAATCCCATGACTTTCAATAAGCAATTGCATCTGATAATGCCAGACTAGATAATTTGTATCATCCAGTTTCACAGTCACAGAAGTGGACACAGTAGGGATTAAATTCGTAATTGGAGATTGCACAATTTGTAGCTGCGCAGCAGTCACCATATTTTCACAAATTGTATACGAAATCAGAATTTCTTGTAAGAATTAGGGTTTGAAGACCAGTTTTGATCAATCTTGAGACGAAAATCAGAGGCAATTACACAGAGAAGATTTTCACAGAGAAAAATTCACATACACAATTCATCAAACACCTGATGTGCAAGGATCAAGCGTCGAAATCAAGAGGAGAAGACACAGATGCTATAGCACTGTAGAAGGAAAGATGCATACCAGATAATCACAACCATGAATACAAAACCAGAAATCGTCAGAAATTTGTATCTCAGAAGGCGGAAGCAGATCAGGATCGAAGAGACACCACAACCGGCGATGATACCATGTTGAATTAATTACCTTGAGCTTGAAGAGTATCAATGGAGTTTTAGAGAGAGAGAAACTGTAAGTATAGAATGTAGAGAGAGAGAGATAGATCGAAGAGAATGAGAGAGAGAGAATTGTACTGTTTGTTATTGCTTATTTCTGAATGGATACAAAGCTCCTATTTATACACCTTTCACTACTTGTACATTAAGTAACAGATCTTTAACAAACTAACAACCACACTACTTAATCTCTTGACAGATGGCATCTTCTTGACCATTGGATAGAACTTGCTTATCTATAGCTTTACATTAGGCATGTACTCGTACAACAACAACTTAGAGTCCTTCTTGTTCGACATGTATCCCAAAAGCCTCACTATGTTTCGGTGTTTGATTCGTCACAGCGTCTTAATTTCCGCTGCAAATCCATGATCCGTTTTTGCTGTATTACTTGATGATCCTACTAGCTGTTTGATTGCTATGACGAGGCCGCTTGGCATGGTTGCCCGGTAGACAACCGTCACAACCCCAGCACCACCTTTGCCTATAATGTTCTCTTGCTTGAAGCACTGTAGCAAGTCCTCGACTTTGAGATCGAGCTGCTGGAACAATGTGAGCCTCCAACCGCTAGATTTTTGAATATTTCTTCCTGTACAAACCTTTATCAGTATGAATACAGAAGTAGGATAAGTAGGGAACCGAGAACCCCAGGTAGTCCAACGATGATCGTAAGACCGAGACTGGAGGAACCAAACACATTGTGGTCTTGAGATTTCTTGTCAATGAAGGAACACGGGCGTGAGACGTTGGTACAGAGATAGGGGTTCCCACGAAACGAGGCAATGTCCAGAAAATGACCCCTGGTTGGGATTCTAACGGTGAAATTGTTATAAGTGTTGTGCCTTGGCCCGTTCGTTAGTGCGGAACCGAGATCCAGATTACAACCTCACCAAAATCACACACAGTTGAACAAAATAAAATACAAGAAATAAAGACATAGAGAAATTTACGAGGTTCGGCAAAAAACTGCCTACGTCCTTGGAGAGATATTGCTCTTCACTATGAGAATAACAGTACAAGTATACATGAGTTAAATCGACATAACCCAATCCCATATCCCTTGTACACCCACTCACAGAATTTTCCCAAGAGCCTCACTCTACCCCAAGAGTTCTTTCACTAGAATATTTTTCACTCTAGCTCTCTTGATTTTCTCTCAACCCATGTCCATAGTAGAGCCAAATGCTCACACCATCTCTTTGGATGCTTTCCTTCTCTCATCCGTATCCTTGTTTTGCCAAATGCTCTCTTTTTATGCTTTTCTTAATCCAAGCCTTCTCCCACAAAACATGGCTTTGAAAAAGCCACAAAACATGGCTTTGAAAAAGCCACAAAACATGGCTTTGAAAAAGCCACAAAACATGGCTTTGAAAAAACCACAAAACATGGCTTTGAAAAAGCCACAAAACATGGAGCAATTTAAGCCACAAAACAAGCCACAAAACAAGGAAACATTTGGCCATTATCCAACAATCTCCACCTTGGCCAAATTGTACCAAAGTCCATTGGCCTTACGTACCAGCATGCACACTCTGAATCCACCTCATTGGTCCTGTTCCGATTCAGTTACTGCCAATGCATGTGCAGCTGCTGCAAGCTAAAAATCACCATTTAGCTTCAGACAGGATCTCAACACATCCTCGTCTCCTCCAGCAGGTTTTCCTCTTCTTCATTGTCTGCAACCTGGAAATTCGTCAGCGCGCCTATTTCCAGCAACAACCCATCGAGCCAGACAAAATTCCCACACTTCCTCCTACCTCAGGACCTTCTCATCACCTGTGAATCCCATAGCTCCACCTGCTGCAAAACCCCTGCAACACTTGAGACTAAACATCACCAGGATAAGTGTTGCTTCGAGTACCTAGAGGGCATACTCAAAGTCTTCCACCATAAACTTGCTAACCCGGCCTTGCACCCGTAGCACTGTGGACCCTTGCCTCCAGAACCGGATCCGAACCTGCTGTCTCTCTCAGATCCTCTTTCCAATTTTCTTCCACGATTTCAACCTTGAATAACTTAAGCAGTCTTGTGCCCACCATCATCCATGGTCTCTTGTGTGTATCATTCCACACCAAAGAAGCTTGCACCTGCTCCAAACTTACTGTTTCTTTCCTTGCAGTAAAGTTTCACAAGGTTCTCGTACAAATCTGAAAGTGAGGTAAGAAGAAAGAGGCCTTTGTCTTCTTCCTCAACATCAACTTTCGCAGTTGATCCAAGCATCCCTAAACACGGCTTCCATTTCTTCAGGCTTCCATTACTCTCCTTTACCAAGAGCAAAACCGCCTCTCCCTTTAAACTGCTCAACTGAAAATTCCATGGTGTACAACAAATCTGGACCTCCCACGAACCAAAGCCCCCAACGATGCTCTGATACCAATTGTTGTGCCTTGGCCCGTTCGTTAGTGCGGAACCGAGATCCAGATTACAACCTCACCAAAATCACACACAGTTGAACAAAATAAAATACAAGAAATAAAGACACAGAGAAATTTACGAGGTTCGGCAAAAAACTGCCTACGTCCTCGGAGAGATATTGCTCTTCACTATGAGAATAACAGTACAAGTATACATGAGTTAAATCGACATAACCCAATCCCATATCCCTTGTACACCCACTCACAGAATTTTCCCAAGAGCCTCACTCTACCCCAAGAGTTCTTTCACTAGAATATTTTTCACTCTAGCTCTCTTGATTTTCTCTCAACCCATGTCCATGGTAGAGCCAAATGCTCACACCATCTCTTTGGATGCTTTCCTTCTCTCATCCGTATCCTTGTTTTGCCAAATGCTCTCTTTTTATGCTTTTCTTAATCCAAGCCTTCTCCCACAAAACATGGCTTTGAAAAAACCACAAAACATGGCTTTGAAAAAGCCACAAAACATGGAGCAATTTAAGCCACAAAACAAGCCACAAAATAAGGAAACATTTGGCCATTATCCAACAATAAAAGAGATCCAAAGTTGTAAGGGTTTCCATGGCGGGTATTCCATCAGGTATTTGGCCAGTGAGTTGGTTCCGAGACATATTTAGAAGAGAAACTAGTTTCAGCTTCTCTATCCCTCTTGGGATTTCGCCGACCAAATTGTTTCGACTCAAATCAAGGGACTCTAGAGACGAACAATTAGAAACAGAAGCTGGAATTTCACCACCGAGCTTGTTGACGCTGATGTTGATCTTTGATAACACTGTCAAGCTGGTATTTATGTGCTACATCAGCGCTTAACGGAATTTTTAACAGAATTTTGACGAAATGACCACATTGATTTGCGACATCTATTTTCAAGGACTACATTGATTGATTTTTAATTTTAGAGACCATCTTGATGATGAGGGTCAATTTTAAAGACTATTTGTGATATAAACCCAAAAAGAAATTGAAGAACCCCCAATTTTTATTTCAAATTAAAGAACTCAAAGAAGGCTGGAGAGAGAAGTCGTGGTAGGAGCTTGTAGGGATCATAGTTAATGGTTAGAAACGAAACGTGGGTTTCTTAACTTTTTTTTTTTTCCTCTTAGTTTTTTCAATAGGGGTAAAATTGTATTTTAAAAGATAAAAAAAATAATGGATGAACTTGGAGCATCTTCAAATGAGATGTCAAAAAGTCCATATCAACATTAACAGTAAAAAATGACATAATCAATGTTCTCCAACCACAATGTCAATTCATATGTGACCTGACATGTAATAGCAGAAGGGGGAGTTGCTGTCAAATTTGACAACAGCTTCAAATATGTTTTTTTATGATTTTTATTATTATCTTTTGTTTTAAAACTACTAATTATAATTATAAAACGTAAATAATGTAATAAATAATAGTTTAAACTTGACATATCGGGATGAAGAACAAAATTTAAGTGAAAATCAATGTGCCACAACCTTCAAATTAAATTTTAATGTATAAAATTTGACATTTCCTTTTCACTTAGTAATACGGTTTAATGGTATTTTACTTGTAAGTGAGATGTCTTAAGTACGATTCTCGCTTAAGGCGAATTTGAACCACATTATTATGACTCGCCCATTGTAAGCCTTAGTCGATTCTCTCATCTGCTTAATATAATAATATCGTTTATTTAAAAAAAAAGAATTTAAACAAGATGGTCTTAGTTGGAAAATGTCATAATGGTATGTAAATAGAAACATAACCTCATATTAATAGAAACTTAATAATTACGGTGCCCTGATTTTCTGGGGACCTAGGCGGCCATCTTGATAGCCTGAACCAGTGCCAGCTAGTGTTTAAGTAGGATTTTTATTTTTTTGGGAAAATATACAATTTATTTTTGTAACACAATTAACTTAAGATAATTTCTTAATTTCTTCAACAAAAAAATGCAATAATTTTTTTATTAATTTGTAAAATAAAAAAAAAATAAAAAAAACTAATACAAAAGGTTTCATTTAATTAAAAAATTAATTTATGGTCCAATCATGTTTCTTGTCTAACTGCACTCAACT